GTATATCAATTGCTCTGTAAAAAGGTGTAAATCATGACTAATAAAGTTTCTACGTTTGGCAATATAAAAAAAAAAAAAAAAAAAAAATTTAGCAATTATAGAATTAAAATTGTTAAGAATCTTAATGACTATAATTTAGCAATAGCTAAGTTAATTATTAAGAATCTTAATAATTGATTTAGCAATTGCAGAATTGTTAAGAATCTTAATGATTAATTTAGCAATTGCTAAATTATGATCATTAAAAATCTTAACGATCACAATTTACCAATTGCCAAATTATAATCATTAAAATTCTTAATGATCATAATTTAGCAATTGGTAAATTGATTATTAAAAATCTTAATGATTACAATTTACCAATTGCCAAATTATGATCATTAAGATTCTTAATGATCATAAATTAGCAATTGGTAAATTGATCATTAAGGAACTTAATGATCAAAATTTACTAATTGCCAAATTATGATCATTAAGAATCTTAATGATCATAATTTGGCAATTGGTAAATTGATTATTAAGAATTTTAACAACCATAGTTTAGCAATAGCTAAATTAATCGTTAAGATTCTTAACGATTGATTTAGCAATTGCTGAATTATAATTGTTAAGATTCTTAATGATCAATTTACCAATTGCTAAATTATGATTATTAAAAATCTTAATGACCATAATTCAGCAATAGCTAAATTAATTGTTAAAAATCTTAACTATTGATTTAGTAATTGCTGAATTATAATTGTTAAAATTTTTAAAAATTAATTTAGCTATTACTGAATCAATTGGTAAGATTCTTAATAATTAAAATTCTACAATTGCTAAATTAATTGTTAAAAATCTTAACAATTATAATTCTGCAATTTTTGAATTAATTGCTAAGAATCTTAAGGGTAGAGGATACATAGATCATTTATCTTATGATTTTTGTGGTACAACGTGATTTTTATAAAAAATAAAATATGCTACTAATAAAACTTTTTACTGTTTTAATTAATTTTTGTAAAATTTTTATATTATATAGATTAATATCTATTCTTTATAATAGTAAAATTTTTAATAAATCAAATATTTAAAAAAAATATACTTGTATATATTGTAAGTTTTCCGTAGTCAATTCAAATTTTCTGGAGTTACACAAAATCGTTAATTTTGATTGGTTAATGTCATATGATCATCATATGATTTTTATAAACAATTTATAATACTAAATATTTAAATACATGTATCTCAATGAATATCTAACCAATTTTAATAATTTTACTACTGTTAGAATCAGAAAAACCTGTTCTACATCTTTTATTAGGAATTTAAACCAGTTTACTTAATAAAATTTTCTTTAATTTTTAAAAAGAAAAAAAAATTACTATTAGTTTTATATATAATTTGCAAATAGTATTCTCTACCCTTAAATAAATATAAAAAAAAATAAATAAGAAAAATAAAATAAAAACAAAAAAAAAAAATGAAAAAAAGATATATGTTCAAACATTTTTATATAATCAAAAAAAATATTTATGATTTATTTTGATGCTCAGCATCTTTAGAAGGATTTTGTTGTGGGTTAGTTTGTATTGTTGCAGGATTATTTAGAATAACTTGAGTTTGTGCAGAAAGATTTGAATCGTCATGAAGTGTGTCAGATAAAGTTGAATATGTAGTGAATATGCAAATGTATGAGCAGGAGTAGTTTTGACAGTAAATGTGATACAGGTAGATTTACTCTTTTTGTAGAGACGGGATGATGATGTTTTTGTTATTCTTTACTTCCTACTTTTCTTAGCAGGAGCTAAGACAATTTCGAATTCTTCAGCTTTATCTAAAGAATCATTGCCTTCTTCTATAAGAATAAAGGTGGTCTGTTCTTGTAGCTTATCCTAATTAAATAAAATTATATTAGTTTGAATTATTTTAAAAATAAATATAATTATCTAGCAAACTTATATAATCATAGTGTAGCAATGTCTTGATATTTTTTTGATGATTATGATGTAATGCCAAATATTCGCAAATATTATGATTAATGCAATTATTATAGGCCAAAACAAAGTATTTTAAATTATATAGGCCAGCAAAAATATTTGAACTAAGTAATTTAATTACATTAATTGTAGCTTAATTCAGATGATGCTAACAAATCTAATTTTTCACTAAGTTTACACAACTAAAAATAAAACATACAATTGTTGAATGTATTTCCTGTTAGAAATTTATTGACAGACTCTTTATTTTGTTTTTTTTTTACTCTTTTGTCCACTTTCTTGAAGGATGTTTTTTTCAAGTTTAACCAATGCATCTCGTAAAGATTTATTGATGATTCATCAATAGCTTGTAGTGATTCATCAAACTCAAGATTATATATGCCATTTGTAAGTGATGTAAGTGAATTGGTCTATTTAAAGTAGGAACTTGCTGTCACAAAATCCCCACTTAGATTAGAAGATACCTTTGCTGCTACTTATATTTTAGTTGCTTCATTATCTTAAAAAAAATACAAATTTTTAGTTAATAAAAAAAAATTTTTTAATTAAACAAATACTTTGTGAAAATGGTTTTCTGCATTAAAGAATCCACCAAGGCCTTCATGCTGCATAATTGATTTCAGTCGTTCATATACAGATAAGCCTTTTTGTAATTTATGCCTTGAAATTGATATAACTATAGAATCTGAACATCCAAGTCCTTTTAACACCTGTACTGCGGTTTTTCTTTCCAAATGATTTGATATACTATGATTTTTGATTTGAATATTAGTAGTCTCACATATAATTCAAAAATAATCTCTTAATGTTCTTTCACCAAGTGCACATCCATAAAACCACTGATTACTAAATTCAACTTTAAAAAAATATTAGTATTAAACACTAAAATACATAAATATAAAATAAATATTTACCAGTATTGTCAGGAACAGGTTTTAAATAAAACTTTTTAATTGTTGTCACTGGATGTTTAGTAAAATAAAATTCGTAATCATTGATAATGTTCTTATAGTTAGATATGCTGATTACTTCAGCTTGCGCATCATAATCTCCTATACCTTGTTGATTTGTTTTTGACTTGAATAGTTTTACATCGATGCCACCATCGAATTGTTTTACAAAACTATTAATTAGAAGATCTTGGTGTTCTTCACCTCTTAAAGCTAATATTACTGCATTATAAAAAAACATACATTGTATCAAACCCTCTGAAGTATTACACTGCATAGTAGGATGAGCAAGAATATGCTCTACTTCACTTAATGTTAACCCATCTACTCCAGCTCGTTCGCCAAGGCCCTTGGCTGAAAGACTCTTAATTTTTCCATTGACAATTATATTTAAATCATAATAGACTTTAGGATTGAGTATTTCAATAGATTTTTGCATAATAGAATATTGGTTGAGGTGCTGCCAAATTGCAGCTATGCAATTACGAATCGAAGATGCATGGTATTCTTTATTATCCTTATGCTTTATCACACAAATAAATTTTGATATTTGGTCCTCAAGAACCTCTTTGGATTCAATTTCTTCGATTTTTCTATTAAAATCTACATCAGACCAAAACTCTTCAAAAGCTTTAACCCAGACTTTAGTTGCTTTATATGTTAATTCTACTCTAGCACTTCTTCTAACTTCTTTAAGATTTTCTAACGAAGGCTCTATATATCTAATATGCTAAAATTTTGTGTAAATTTTTTAATAAATTCTTCTTTTTTTTTAAAAAAAAAATAATAAAAGAAAGAATAAAACTATCTTTGCACTTTTGTTCTTTGCATTTTCAACAGCTTCAGAAACACTCATTATGGCAGGTTCAGGAACACTGATTACAGTTGGCTCCGAATTACTTATGTTTGGTTCAGAACTACTTATCATGGTTGATTCAAGATTACTTATTGTAGTTTGCATAGTGTTACTACTCATAGTTGAGGTGAGGTTATAATTTTTGTTGGAGACAGCTTTTCTTTTTGTAATTCCAACTCTTGAAATTACACTGTTTTTCACTTTACTAGTTCTAGATAAAGCAACTTTTGTTCTCAAATTACTAGTACTGGTTTTTTTAGTTTCGGTATTATAAAAAAAATTTTTGAAGTATGCTTTTACAATATGAAGTAAAGGAACATACAATATATTTAAAAAAAATAATGTCCATAGTATTTTTTTTTTTCACTACATAGAAAAAAATTTTCTTTTTTATCTGATTATCTTTTTTTCTAAATCTAAAATCTATATATAGGAGGAGAGGATTGGGCATCGGTGCCATGATCATAAATTGCTGGATAACACCAATACTGGGCAAATTGTTGAATACAGTAATTTGGCTCAAACAGACAAATAATTGGCTGACACGTGCCGCTTTGTAGCATGTATTAACCAATTATTTGCCCATTTAAGCCAAATTACTGTTATTCAACAATTTTTGCCCAGTATTGTATACATAATTTTATATAATATTTCATAATTATATATTTCGCAATATTGTGAAAGTTATTATATAATATTACAGTTTTCTTATACTTTGTAATTATTGCGCAATATTACAGCTTATTAAATTTGCTGATATATATCTTTAAATGTGCTGCGCCATATATGGGGTATAGTGGCTAATATCAGTATGATAACCAAGATTGGGCATCTTTAAAAGATAGCTGGCTTTTTGTCTATTTTTGCTGTTAAATAGCTTAGTCTTGTATTAAGCATATTACATTTAATAAAATTTAGTATGTAGTTATCAAAGAAATATATATATATATATATAATCTATATATTATTAGTTAGTAAAAAATTATTTATTTAATTAATTTTCAAAATATCAGCTTCTATTAAAATAAATTAATTACATTGGTATTATATCATCATTTAATATATTTATTCTTTTTTTTTTTTTTTTTTTATATATTTGGGGTGTAGCTCCTGCCTCAGACTTTTATTAATACTTAAGTAAATTGACATATGATAGTGCTGTAAATACATACATATTATATATCAAAACTAGGACTAGGACATCAAGCACTAAGACTATTTATCCATGGCTAAAACCCACCAGAGCCATCAACATTCCCACACATGTGATTAATCTAGATTTTATACATCTCTTCCCAACCACCAATCAGTATTTACATGTCCGCCACATTACTCACAAACCATTTATCTTCAACTCCCAAATTGGTGTGTACCAGGTAGATGCTTATTGCTTCCGGTTTGGTGTACTTGTCAGCGGGTTTTCTCCCTTAATCTCTACTTAGTGTACTTCCAGGAGTTCATATTTCAAGCCATGCAGCTGCCTCTACCCGAACAGGTAAGTATCTCAAGCCTGCATGCTGCCATAACTAGCTGGTTTTCTGTGACTTTCAGAACCTAGGTCTTAATATATCCAATTAGGTCTGTGTTAACAACTGTACTTCCCAATATGGTGATAAGAGTACCCAGGCATGTTTCACAAATGCTTTCAGTAGTCAGTATAGTTGGATGGCATCATGAGGCTCAGAGGTAACAGGTGCGTCATCATTTCTTTTTATAGTGATTCCCGGCAGTTGTAGCCTCCAGTTACCGCTGCATGCACTTATACTAGCTATATCTATATTGGTAGTCCCGAGTCCTCTTAATGCCAAACTCCCATACGGGTACGACTAGAGCCTGTTAGGTCTGTCAACACGTACACGCCTCCATGCTTCAACTTCTTATTGGCCAGTGAGTTCTGTATGTGCCAGAGGTGTTTCAAATCTGATAAGGCCAATTCTTTACTACAGGTCTCTTTGTGTTCACCACATTTCTCACCACTTTCTAATTCTGGTTACCATCTAGTTATCCTCCCAAACAAGATTCTCAATACCACCTTAGGGGTTGTTGGTGCTACCTTGCTAATTGCGGATTTACACGCACAACCTTTGTGTAATAAAACTTTCTGTAACAACCACTATTACACATAGTGCCAACTACTCCACAATGGACCTCCTTCCGAAAATTCCTAATCAAAACCTGTATTCACTTGGGCTTCTCACAGCAGTTACTTCCAAATATTCGTAGGTAAACATACCTACTAGGACTTGAACCCGAAACTCGCTCGTGGAGGATTGGGTGCCTAAACCACTAGGCTGCGGGATCCCAACTTTTAATATATTTATTCTTTAAATAATTAGTTTATATCATTGCTTATTGTTTTTTTTTTTTTTGTTAAGTGTCCAGAAACTAGAGTTTATTGATATTTTAGATATTAAGGTTAATTGATCTAGTACAAATTGTATTTATAGTAATGAATTTAATCTAACCAATCTATATTTAACATATTATGTAACTCTAGTATCTTTATATATAGCACTGCAATTTATTTTATCTATTATCAGTAAACTTTTAACCAAATCTTTTGTCTTATCTAAGATTGGCATAGACTGCATTTGCCTATTGCTTATTGGTTTAACTTTTGATGTTTTATATTAATTAATTATTTTTTATAACTAGTTGTAAACCCATACAATAATGTACAGGAATAAATCTATTTAATATAAATAACAAAAGCAATCTAGTATACTTTTAAGTTAAATTTTAATTTTATAAAACTCAATTCGAATGTTCTATAAAATAGGTGGGCAGACTCTGCAAACTCAGCAACTCCGCTAAATATTTATTAATGATTACTAATTAGTAGTGGAGTTTATTTTGTATATTGCCCACCTATTCTATAGAATATCTCTTAATTCTAAATCTATTGTCTATATATTTAAACTAACTAATATTAGAATAATTGCATTTATACTACAATGTCTTAAAAACATACTAAGTAAATAAAATCAAGTATTTTAAATAAAAAGATTCAAAACTAAACTTTATAAAAACTAAAAACAAATCTTATATTTAATATATATATCTTAAAACTACACTTTAACTCTAACTAACTTCAACTTAGACTATATAGGTGTTATATTAACATAATATTAGTAATAAAAATAACCCCATAATCTTGATATAGTGATCATGAAATTTTAAATATAATATTCTTTAACATTAATATTATAATTTTATTTTTTTTAAACTTTTTTTTAAATTTATTTTTAATTATTATTTTAATTTAAACATTTTTTATTGGATAAGGTTTTAGCATTAAAAGTAGAATAATAATTTTTTTTTGGTAGTAACAATGAAATCTGTTATAAAATAAATAAATAAATAAATAAGTATTTAAGCATCTTTGATTAATAAATTTTAATCAATTGGTATCTTTATGAAAATAATTAGTAGTCAAAGCTAAAGGCTTTTTTTTGACCAAAGTAATAAGCACAATTAATCTTTTCAACCAATCAAATTGTTTGGTAAAATCATTGAGGTAGTGTTGCAACTGTGGGAGAGACTTGGCTAATATGAGGTCAAATTAGCTCAGGTTATAAACATAGATTATGCAAAATAGATGTTCATTAGGGAATTCAGAATTAATATTGATTGGAGCAAAGAATTTATTGTTCTTTATTAGTATAAGCTTTATATTTCTATATTTTTGAACTATATCTAGTTTAAGACAAACATTCTAAGTTCTAAACCACTATTGGTAGTCTCAGACCAGAATTCATAGTTCTGAACCCTTATTGGTAGCTTAGACTGGAATCCACAGTCTTGAATTACCATTGTTGCAACCATGAGAGAGACTTAGCTAATATTAGGTCAAATTAGCTTAGGGTTACAAACATAGATTATATAGAATAGAGATTTAGAATTAATGATAATAGGATATTAAAGAGTGTATTTATTTATTTAGTTGGGGCAAAAAGAAAATTAATTAATTGAGTGATTCATTATTGTCATTATAATGTTCTTTATTAGTTTAGTCACTGTATTTATACTTTCCAAATTCCAGTAGTCCGAGACCAAAATTTTGGGCCTCAGATCATGATTTGTGGTCTCTGACCAAGATCTAGGGTTCATAGAAAGACATTTGTATGATTGGCTGTTTAAATCAATTTAAATTTATATTATTTATACAGTTTAAAGTAATTTTAAAAAAAAGAAAACTACTATGAATAAACAAAAGAGAAGTATATAGAAAGTTTTGTTAGGGTTGTAGGACTTCACTATTAAAAATAATTAAAATTCTTTTTTGTTTTAGAGAAGTTAGCATAATAATGACTTCTTAAAATTAAAACTTTCTATATACTTCTTTATTGTTTATTTGTAGTAGTTTTTTTTTTTTAAAAAGTACTTTAAACTGTATAAATGTAAAGTTAAATTGATTTAAACAGCCAATTATACGAATATCTGCCTATGAGATCTAGAGTCTCAAACCTATACATAGCCATAATACTAACTATATAATACTATAATAATGAATACAACAAAAAAAATTTGAACACAAAATTTTCATAACACCATTTAAGATTCAAAGCTATGATCAGAGATCCGAACTACTACCTATTTCAATCTAATGGAGCTAATGCACAAACTATATATGGGATGATTATACAGAAAAAGAAAAAAGAAAAATTTTCTACAACAATAGGCACTTGGTAACAGCTTCATTCTAAATGATATTTTATAAAATAATTAGATTAATTGGCAGAATTAGTTTATAAATTATGAACACTAATACTAATTTTCCATTATATACCTTTTAAATCATTTCATTGCATCAACTATTTTATTCAGCTTTTTAAATCTAAAGAACAGTAAAACAGTGTTCCAAATAAGCCAGCTTAAATGGGCTTATATGCAAGGGGTGCATATGCATGCATAAATTATGTAAGGAGTACATATGCATACATAATTATGTAAGAAGTACATATATATATAAGAGGTGCATTATACATGCAGAGGTTATGCAAGGGGTACATTATGCATGCAGGGGTTATGCAAGGGTGCATTATATATGCAGAGTTATGCAAGGAGTGCATATACATGCAGGGGTTATGCAAGGGGTGCATATTTTACAAAAATTTACA